CAGGGCCAGGATAGGTCTTAGAAAAAAACTGAATTAAGACTGCAGAAGGGATTTGTTCTGCTTACAACCCTGCCATCTCGGAAAACTTGGGGCACTAGGAGTCTCCCTACTTCCCAGGCTCCCAGGAAGACCCGCAAATTACAAATGAGGATCTCTGCCTCCTCAAGGATTGTGAGAAATGACAACAGGCTTCAAAAGTGGAAAGATGCGAAATCAAACCCCCAAAGAATCACCTATCAATTGCTACTTCTGCCTATATACCGTAGGTGAAACTGGACATAAAATGAACCACAAAATGATTAGTATCGCAAAAATCCTTTCCACACACAGTCTCTCTTACCAGCTAACTCTTGGCTTGCCTGTGTTTTTGTTTTTAACAGTTTAAGAAGTATGACCAGCACCAAGCAAATCCCCAACAACTATTCGCATTTTATTTTCTCTTCCAGGATCTCCCATTATGGCACAGACTTAACATAGGCCTGACTAAACATGAATTCTTTCCAACTGCCTTATCTTGCAGGTGTCGGTTTTTCAAAAAAAGCAATTAATTATAGTTCTCAGTAACCTTTTGGGCCCAGAAATCAATGTATTGCCATTAAGCTGCCCACATGGAGTAAATTACTTTGGTAAATAATAGAATTTCATTATTAATAGAAATAAGATGAAATTTTAAGATACTTCACACGAGTCAATGCTTTATAGGCAGTTAATGATGCTTTTTTTTTAAAATCTCTGTCCCAATATTATATTTTCTGTGAAAAATGCTGAGTGCCAAAATAAATGAATGGATAATCCATGTAGTTACATTCATTTTAAAAACATCATCCATGGAAGAAAAACCTCAAAGATACACACACACACACACACACACACACACACACACACACACTTTTTCTTGAAATTCAAATTCACATGCAAACCATTAGATTCTAATAGTTAACTTTCCTCAGAATTATCTCAGTAAATAATTTTTCCAATGGCAGTTATTTTTCTACAAGTAATCTGAGACTTGTTGAATATTAAGAGGCAAGTCGCATCTACCAGAATCCTAGTTTCATAAGGAGTCAAAAATTCCAAGCTTATTTTAGGGTGTCTTGCTGGTCTTACAGCTTTATCAAATAGAATTAAAAGACACATTTTAAAGCTGACCAGACGAGCCTGTTTTCTTGAAATGGTTGAAGTGAGGTTAGTGGTGTGGCTGTTTAGCAGGGCCCTGGTGTTCTTTGTATGAGCACACACGAGCGTATACACACACACACACACGCGCACACACGAGTTCACGCACACACACACACACACATACACACACACACATGCATGACATGCAGCCCATAGCTTTGGGAGTCCCCTTTCAGGATGACTGTTACTGGGGTCTACAAACTTTTCTAGGTTCCACTCTGGGCTGAGGGGTTCTTAGAGGATAAAAAGCAGTGACCAGATAGAACTTTGTATGTTTGATATTTTATCTGTCATATTTTAAGTCTATTTCAGGATCAAGAAAAAGTAGCCATGTATTTGTCTTCTAAAAATTTATCATTCTCTCTCTCTCTCTCTCTCTATATATATATATATACATATATATACACACAAATCAAAAGTCCATTAACTCCTTAAAGTATGTATTTATTTATTTGGAGAAGGAATAGAGGTTGGTAAAATTACTACGGAATAGTGGGTGACTTTTTCAAAGGGAACTCTGAGCTATGTCATAAACTCCGGGTTCCATTTCACTCCCCAATCTCTCCAAATAAAAAGGAGAGTAGGACCCTCCTGTAAGGGAGCCGGAGAGGAGGATTAGTTGTGTCCTAATATTATTACAACATACTAAATCCTGTAAACCTATTACAAAATCTACACTCTAAGCAGGAGAACCCAAACTTATTGTTCCTCCACATAAAAAAGTCATAACCTAAAACCATTAATACTGAAGAGAAAGAGAAGAGGTGTGTGTGTGGGGGGGGGGGGGGGTTGGACGTGGGTGCTCAGTAAGCCCCCTAACAGTTTGCTGTTCTTAAGACAATGAACCAGCTTTTGGGATGAAAAAGTAAGAAAAGAAGAAGGGAGGAAGGAAAGAAGAGAGGCAAAAGAGGGAAAGAAACTTGATTCACTTAATTAACTTACCTCAAAGCTCAAATAAACTTTGAAAAAAGGTCTGATAAATAATGAAGGGAAGAGGGGCCTCCCTTTTGCTATTCTTTGAGAAACCCTTTCTGAAGTCAGAAGCCAGGCAAGGAAAACGCACAGCTTACAAGACACCACGGATCCCCAAGCCGGAGCCTTTATTGTGAGATTTTTGGGAAAACGTATAAAATCGGTACAAATTTACAAAACAAACTAAGGCACTTTGCCTTCTCTCGTTTAGTTGGTCTCATACAAAGCGTAGCCTTGAGCCCTGAGCTCGGCAAGCCAAAGTCTCACCAGAAACTTTAGGAAAAGATGGGTGTGGGGTGAGGAACAGAAGCTGCTAGCTGAGAAAATCCAGAAAAAAAATTACTGGGGGTTGCTGCGGAGGCCTTGGATAATTTAGCCTCCTTTACTACAGCAGAGCCAGTTTCATCTAGAGTGGAAAGTGGGGTCCAGGGGCTCCTCTCCGCAGACGGAGAATTCACAGGGACTCCGCAGGGCGATGGAATGAATCTTAAGAAAGAGCCGCGGGAAGAGGTGGAACAAATGCCGTAAACACTTTTGAAAATCAGTCTCAGTTCTCCCTAATATTTTACGGAAATCCTCCCCTTTCCTTTCTGACGGCAGGGGCGAGCCTGGCTGGTGGGGTCCGGTGGGTCCCCGAGCCCAACTCTGCGGAGAAGCAGGCCTCTGGGGAAGCAGCCCAGGCACTGCGGGGCCCGGCCGGCCGCAGAGTCCAGCGCTGACCTCGGGACACGCTTCGGAGCCCTGCTAGGTTCCCAGCCCTCTCCTGCAGAACCCCTAAAGCTGGAGGCGTCCAGAGTCGCTGAGACACTCCAGGGTCGCTAGTCCCAAGTCTTCCCGCGCCCGGGGCGTGAGCAGGGGACCAGGCAAGTGAGTCCCCTGCACCGCACCATCGCCTCCAGCGCGGAGTCCCCTAAAGTCAGTTCCCCTCGAGGGCAAGAACCGTGTCCTCCGTCCGTACCCCCAGCTCCCTGCCCTCCAGATCCTATCAAGCACCCCACAGAAACTTTGTTCCGGACTTGTTCATTCCCTTTGGGGCTCCGCAGTGGTCGCCTCCACGGGAGAAAGGCAGAGCTGGTTTTAGGGGGCTCTCTTCTGGGCTAAAAAGCGCCCCTCACCCAACCCCCCAGACCCAGTAAATGACCCTCAAGACTCCGGGAAATGCGGGGTACCGCGATCCTCAACCTCGTGCACTCCGAATCTAAGGATCTCGGAGGGGAAGGGGGGGGCGGGGGCACATGTGCTAGTAGGAAAGATCGGGGGGGATAATAAAACTTGGGGAGCCGAACCCCGACACGTTCTCTCCCCCCCCCCCCCCCGCATTCCCTCTGCACTCCGTCTCGGACAAGGGGCAGCATCTAAGAGCGCTCTGCCCCCTGACCGCGACCCCAGCGTGGCAGGCGTCGGCGCCCCGACACGAGTCTCCATGTATCTTCGCTGCTCCGAACCCCAAAGGCACCCGGGGTTCCGCGGAGCCGGCCCAGGTGGAGCGCGAGCGAGGGAGTCGGGGGCTGGGGGCGCGGCGCGGGGAGCCCCGGACGCTCGGAGTTCGGCCCCGAGTATCAAGTAAACTTCCTTCCCCAGGACAGCCACAGAGCCGGGGTGGCCGAGGAGCCGCTGGGGGCCCCCGGGAGCGCCGCGGGGAGCATGAGGGGCCCCGAGCAGGCGTGCACGGGCCTCTGCCCGCACCCGCGCCCGGACCGCGGCTCGGCGGGTCCCCGCTCCGCTGTCCGGAAAGGCCGGCGTGTCCCCTCTCCTCCCCCCACCCAGAAGACCCAACAACTCCGGAAAGATCCCGCAGGGAGGAGTGTTTGCTTTCTCGGCGGCCGGGGGAAGTCCAGCAAAGGCCACTGGAAAATTAAAAAGAAAGAGGGGGGGAAAAAAACCAAAAGAAAAAAAAAGCCACCGCGCCGAACGGAGACGGCGAGCGGGGACGCGGTGGCGGCGGCCGGGCAGCGGGCGCTGGGCCGCCGCGTGTGCGTGGGTCCGAGGGTGCGTGAGTGTGAGTGCGAGTGCGTGTGTGTGCGTTTGTGTGTGTCCGCGGGCGCGGGCCGGAGCACTCACCATCTCGCCGGGGGAGCGAGGCCACTTCGGGGTCGGATTGGAAATGTTGAGGCTTCGCTTGCTTCCTCCGCGACATGCTGGCTCAAACATCAGCTGGGGCAGAATAAAAAATTACTAAAAAAAAATCTTCTCAAAATTACGGAAATCGAGCGGCGGCGGCGGCGGCGGCTCCCCCCGCCCGCCGGCCCGCCCGCCCCCTCCCCGGCTCCCCGGCCCCGGGCGCAGCGCGCATGTGTCCTGCTATAATTATGATTATCAATAATGCATTGCGATTAATCATAGAGGGGCTCTTTGAAAGGCGATTGGCACCGGGCCAGCGCTATTCAAACCCGCTCGCCTTAATCAATTAGTTCGTGATTTGCTGCAGACCCCTGTCTCTCCGCGCGCTGGCCCAATAAGCCGGCCGCGGGGCTGGCTCTGCGCGCCGCGCCGCCCGACACTGGGTTAACCCTCTTCGCGACCGCCCGGGACTCCGCGGCCCGGCCGCCGGGGGCCCTGCTCCCCGCCTCTGCGCACCGGCGCCCGGGCCTGCGCCCCCTCCCTCCCCGACCCCCCCGCCCCCACATCTCGGGCTGGGCCGACCCAAATTAGCATGCCCTCCCCGGAATGAAGCCGCCCGGGTGGGGGGTGGGGCCGGCGGGCGGCCGGGCTGGAGACCCAGGCGGCGGGCGCGCCGCGAACTTCCCAACTCCGGCGCTAGGCGCGCGGGCCCGCGATGGGGGAGGGGGGCAGGGAGTCCCGTGGCGGAATCTGGAGGGGGTGGGGGGGGGAGGGAAGTCCCGGTTCGTGAGTGTTTCTTCGTTTCTTTAAGAGCTACCAGAAAGCAGCCCACCCCCACTCCCATTAAAAAAAAAAAAGAAAAAAAACGAGTGGGGAAGAGCCAGCCCCACGCCGGTCCGCCTCCCGCCCGCAGCCCGGCCTCCCTCCCGCTCGCCGCCTGGCTCGGCTCTCCATCGCCCGGAGTTCTCCATCCCCTGGATCCCGGGCTCGCGGGGGCGCGGAGAAGAGGACCGAGGAAAGGTTTGGGAACGTGATGGGTTTGGGGGAGGGGGGAGGTCTTGGGGGGTGGGGAGGGGCAGCTCTCCCGCCACCCCGATCTTCCTCCAAGGGCCCAGATCCCGCAGTCTCTCTCTGGCTCCCTCGCCCCCTTTCTCTACCTCGGACATTCCCAGGACAATTAGGGCTGAAGTTTTCGGGAGATGCAGCCCCGAGCCCGTGGGATAAGGGGCGGCCCGGCTCCGCCCAGGACCCCTCCCGGACCTTCCCCCCGCCTGCCCCGGTTGGCTGCAGGGCGCGTCACTCCGCGGGGAGGCGGCGGCCGCGGTGGCGCCGCCGAGCCCGGGGCGGGCGGAGAGCCGGGACCGGCCCGGGGCTCCGAGTTCAGCTCCCGCCGGGGGAGGTGAGAGGGAGGGGGGGGCGAGGATGGGAGGGGGCGCTGCTTACCCTGCAAGCTGCAGACCACCACCCCCCGCCCCCAGCTTCGGGAGGGGCGGCCCAGCCCGGCTGGACCGGGTCACTCCTTAGGACCCCTGGGCTCCCCGCCCTGGAGGAGGGGGCAGCGCCCCAGGCTCGGGCCGACGAGGTGGTGGCGCTGATCCGGGATTGAGTGGGGGGGGGGGTCCTCTATAAGCTGTCTGGCCCCGCGGAAGCTCGCCTCCACCTCTCGGACACTTGCCGAGCGCGGCACCCAACTTTCCGCTCTGTCTGCATCTCCCCCAGACTGGGGTGCAGCTTGCCTCCCGTCCCCCTAGCCCCCCGAACCCGGAATTGGGAGGCCGGGCCCCGCGTTCCCTCCTCCGCTAGGCTCGGGCGCCTGCGAACCTGAGACTCGGTCTTCGGCTTAGCTCTTGCCCCTCTCGTCTCGGGGTCTCCTCTCTCCGAGGTTCCCGAAGTGCTGCGCCCAAAGGACAAACTAAACTTCGGCTGAGTAATCGGGGAGGAGGGGTGGAGGGGGGGGGTGCAGATACACAATCCCTGCCCTATCTCACGATCGGGAAAGGAGAGGGCTCATAAGGACGCCCCAATTCGGGAGCGCCTGTGTGTCTGGATAGCACCGCGGTCGGTTCGCGCGAAGTGGGCACCGATCATCCGAGTAAAGCGTCAGACACGCTGCACCCCTATGGTGCTCCCCCAAATGACTTTTTTTTCGTTTCCCCCTCCAGCTTCTTTGCTCTCTCTTTACATCTCAATCTTCTGAGTACCGGTGAGTTTTTCTTCCAGCCAACTCGCCCCCACCCCCCCCTTGCTATAATTTCTCCTTTCTTCTTCACCTTCTCTCTTCTACCTCTTCCCCCACTTTTTTTTTTGCGCTCGCCTTTTCTCACACACGCACGTGCGCGCGCGCACACTCACACGTACCCTCTCCGCCTCGCTCCCACTTTCTCCCCAGGTCCTGTTTGTTACAGTAGATTTTGATAAAAAGACAAACGAAGCTATCAGTGTGGCTGATGTTGAAGAATGAAGATAATAATGTTTCCATAGGTGGTGCTTCAAATGCCATTATTTCTCACTGAATATTTAAAGAGATCCCGAGGCAAAGATGGATCTGCGTGCTACTGGGGTGCGAGCCGCCCGCTTTCCCGAGACCCCCAGGAAAGTGTACGCGAGCACGTGAAAAATCCTGCACCCACCCTCTGCCCCGCGAGCACTGGTCCCTACAAACACCCCCTCCGCACTCTCCCGGGCACACGAACGCATCTCAAGGCACGTGCGTGCCCGTTTCTTCGGCGCCCGCGCTTAGAGCTGTTCGCATCCCGTCCCCAACAATCTGGGCTTCTTGAAAAGTCCGGGCCTCCGGGCCACCGCATGCTGCCAGGCTCGGCGCGGGAGCTGGCGGTCTTGCGAACGCTGCTTCTCGGGGCGTGCGCTGCGGGAAGTTCCCGGGAATCGCTTCACACGTGTTCGTTACTTGCCCTACGTGTGATTAAGATTAAGGATGGGGATGGGGGGGGTGGAAAGAAACTTTGTCCGCCCCCACGCCACCAATACCCAGACAAACAACTAAACGAAAGGCACACGCCAAAGCAGCTTCGCGTAGATTTAATTAAAAAATGGGCGAGCAGAAATAAATCAATTGGGGGATGCAAACTTTCCTAACTTTTTTTCGTTCCAAGTGCGTCCTCGACGGCGTGGAGGCTGGCGCCTCGCACGGCGCGCGGCGTCCCCCCGCTAATTTCTTGTTTGTTTTCCTTCCCTCTGTGGCCATGAAGAGAGGAGAGGGGAGGCGGGGGGGGAGGGGGGAGGGGAGGAGGGGGATGGTCGGAATGGCGGGGAGAGGAGAATTGGTCTTTATTGTTGATGGCAATACATCAATTATGGGCCATTGTTTCGGGCCCGGGTTCGGCGGCTCGCTGACGCGGTCGCCCGTTGCGTTGGGGTGCGGGTACGGTTTCGCGTGCCGCGGGACAAGTTATTAAATTGATAAAAACCGGAGGGTGGAAGTGGATCTTTACTTCTGAACGAGTGGGGAGAAGGCAGCCCGGGAAAGTGTCACCGCCCAGGCCCGCACCCGGCTTCCCCAAGTGCGGCTAAAGGGGTTCGCGCGCTCCCAGCCTTGCGTGGGACCGCTGCTGGCAGAAGGGGGGTGTCGGGGTCCGGACTCGTAGTTTCCGCGAGAGGACTGGGCCCTTGGAGTATGAGTCACTTTTGGGGGTGGCCGCCACCCCCGGCAGAAACCGGGGCTGCTCCAGGTGGTGACCTCGTGGGCACCCAGAACCGCACCCGAGAAGAGCGCTTAGCGGGTCGTGCGCAAAATCCCATTTCGGGGGTCCATGCCTGCATTCCTACCCACTAGTGTGTTTCTTCGGTTTTGCTCGGGCCCAGGGTATTCTTGAAGGAGGGCGCGCCCAGAGCCCCGTAGATCCTGCCTGCAGGAGTGTCGTTGGCGGGTTCGCAGGTCAAAGGGTTGTGCCCCAAGGCCACCACTGACCCAACGCCAGCGTTCCGGGCTTCTTCTCAGCACCCTCGATCCGGAGAAGGGGAGATGGAGCCTCCCGGCTCCGAGGTCCGGTGCTCCCCCTACACCCCTTGCAAATATATTTCATTTGGGCCCAGTCTGGCTCTGACCAGGGCCCTGGAATGAGGCCTGGCCTGGGCCGGGACCACCTTTCCCGTCGGTGCTCGGTGGGAACTGCATCGCAGGACCCAAGAACGCCCCCACGTGCCATGCCCGCGCCCCTGTTTTCCTCAACCTGTGGCCCCCAGGCCCCGCTGCCCCCTGACCGAGGCTCGAAGGGCGGTCGAGGCGCTTTCATTTTTTTTCTGGTGCGGAGTTAAAAAAAAAAAAGCAGCGAAAAGGCGGCAGCGGCGCCCCGGGGGCGGGGGTGGAGGCGCACCGAGGGTATCCGCATTATTGATGGGAACGTGCGGGGCAGAAGCCCGGAGATCAGGTTCCCGGTCCCTCCCCTCCCTACCCGGGGTGGGAGGGACGGGGTGGAGGCCGCGGCGGCGGCAGGGGTGGGGGTGTGTAGCGTGGGGTGCTGAATGCACCCGCTTTAACCATTCCGGGGTGTTTTTGTCTTTAGTCTGGAAGTTTGTGGGAAGGGATTGAGGTGCGAGTGGCCGAGCTCGGGGCGCTCTTCCCTCCGAGGGCTGGGGCTAGAGTGCTAGGAGGGACAACTGCAGTCCCCGGTTGGCTGTTTCCCCGGGACTTTCAGAAACTCCTTCCTTCACCAACAGGCTGCCGTTCGAATCCTTAACTTCTCCCGGGCCCCTGGAAAGGCTTCGAACCGGAGGCCTGCAGAGGGCGGCTCGGGTCGGAGTCTCGGCGCTGCGCACTCGGAAGCGCTCGCTCCCCAGCCAGCCAAGCCCGGGCGGCGTCAAGGCGCACTTTCGGGAGGGGGGTGGGGTGGGGGGGGGGGGACACACTCCCTGCCGCCCGCCCGCAGCCAAGGGCTATCTCTAGACGGGCGCCTGGGGGCTGCGTGGGGGAAAGGGCGTCCCGGCGCCGGCAACTGGCTGGAGATCGAACCGTGGCGAGTCGAGGGCGATCTGGGGAACCACCCGCGCGCCACCCAAGCAAGGGCCCCACGCCGCGCGCCCGCGCCGGACCTCGTCTTGCTTCTCTCGCCGCCGGGCCATCTCCACGCTGGCATTTAGAAACTGCCTTCGCGGGCGACTGGCAAGTGCTTGCGATTTTTGCACTTTGCGTGCACCCCCGAGTAACTTGCACTTCAAATGCCCGGCGCCCCGCATGCAAGAGTAACCCCGCGGAGGGAATCTCTGGGTAGAAGGGTATAAAATTCCTCCCCAGGAAATGTCTCGGAGTCAAGAAAGTGGAAAAGACTAATCGAATTTATGAAGGGAAAAAAAAAAGGAAAGCCTTGGTTTCCTTTTGGTTAAAATCCCTTTGCGGGTTTTTTTGGGGGTGGGGTGGGGCGGGGGAAGGGGCCGAGGGGTGGAATCATCCTCATGCACTAGGAGTGCAGCTAATTCCTGGAACCTGACAGTGGGGATGTTCAGAAAACCCACCAGCTTCACAGCTGCCAATCCTGCAGCTCAAGCGGCAGGGCTTTGGGGTCCCGTGGAAAGTGATTAGTTCTTACAGTCATCTGTGGGGAGTGGAGGTGTGGAGTGTGTGGAGTGGAGGGCTCGCGCGTTTGGAGGGGTGTGAGTGGGGTCTGCCAGGAAACTCATTTTCACTTATAAAAGACCTCCCGGTGGGACTCCTAGATGAACTAATTTAGCAAATCCCTGGCGACGAACCTCAAGAATACCTTACCACTTTCCCCAGAAAAGCGTCCTTTTAAAAAACAGAACAGGTTGAAAAGAAAGTCTTAAGGAATGGTCATCAAGGGTCAGACAACCGGCTTGCTTATTCACCAGGAGCGCTGGTCTGGGGTGGGTTCTCCCTGGGCTGGGTTCCTGCAGGAAGCGTCCTTTGGTTTCTGTTTGGTAGAAATCAGGTGGCCAGCTTAGACTGCAGCGTGCCCTGGCTTCCTGGCTCTCCTCTGCCCTGCAGTGCAGACCTAAGCAAGGCCAATCTGGGTCTCTGTCACTCACCTTAGTAGTAATTTACCAAC